AAAAAAAAAAAAAAAAAAAAGAGTTGTATCTTTTCCCCATGTTTATTCTGTCTGTATGCTGTATTCAAGCCCACCAGCCACTTTGTGGAAGAAAGAAGAGTCCATTTGTTTCGGTAAAGATACAGCCTTGGAAACTCAGGGAACAGTTCGACTCTGTCCTGCAGGGTTGCGTCAGAATGGACTGAATGGCAGTGGGTTCGGTTTGGTTTAACAACTCATTAAGAAAGAAAAATGATCAAATCATTAAAAGAAAGTCTTAATTTGATTTCTATCATGAGGCATGAAGAGCTCTGTGGTGTAGTGATTACACCTTGGGCTGCGATCCACATGGTCGGCAGTTCAGAACCACTAGCAGCTCCTCCGGAAAAAGACTGGGCTTTCGACTCTCTGAAGCAGTTACAGCCTTGGAAATCCCCAGCGTGTCACTGAGAGTTAGCTTTCACCTGATGGCAGTGGGGTTTGTTTTGTTTTTGTAATCACGATGCATAATTGTGAGCAGATGATTCTAAAACTCGCTTAGAGACATAAGTAGGGGTGAAAGTTGTGTTTATTGGTTGCTAAATCAAATGCAAGGTGTGAATATGAAATTGTTTTCTCAAAATTAAAACAGTGACATTTTATTGAGAAGCACATATAGCTTTGATAATGCTAGAGACTTTGAAATAGAGCACAGATAAAACGTTATATTAGATGCCAGAAATATTTAACATACCAGTGATCTTGCTAATTTATCCCAGGAACATCAAATAAACACTTTCTATGAACATTTAGCTATGACACAAGCAATGCTCCCTTTAATATGCTATTGATATTTCTTACCTCCAAAATCACTGACAATATTACAGTGTAAGGTGTCAAATTAGCTCCCCCGCCCCTAATTTACTGCAAACATCTTAAACATCCCAGTATCTGGGTTTTGTTTTATTCTTGTGGCTCCATTTTTGTGTGTGCTATTTCCACTAATTATATGACTAATGCTAAAATATAGCTGGAAAAGACCAATAAATTATGACGCCCCCCCCCCCCTGCATTAAGAATGATCACTCAGGGTTAACTTTGGGTGTCCCTCTGTGTTTCATTGACTGGTGAATTGGCAGCTAATCACATAAAAGGAGTCACAAAGATGCTGTCCTGAGATCCGAGGAGCCATCTCTTGATCAGCCTATAAATCCTCACCTGTGAGCATCAGTGGGTTCCTCTCCTTCCCTAACATTGCCCATGGCTTTCGAGAAGTCTCAGATACAAAACTGCGTGGGTGTCCTTCTTACCCCAGAGTCTCTTGAGTGGAAACACTGTGAAGCTTAACCTTGCCTCTTCACACCCCCTGGCCAGCTCCCATCACCCAACACTGAGCAGAGAGACCATTACAATTAGTTCGTCTCGTCTTCCTTAGGTGCCTCACTCCAGATGCAGAGGCCCGCCCGGATATTGTGGAAGTCAGTTCTATGATATCAGATGTCATGATGAAATATTTAGACAGCTTATGTACATCCCAGCTGGCCTTGGAGAAGAAGCTGGAGCGGGAACGGCGGCGCACACAGAGGTACTTTATGGAGGCCAATCGGAACGCCGTCACGTGCCACCATGAGCTGGCGCTACTGTCTCAAGTACGTTCGCATCCTTTCCTTTTTCTGATGTACTCTAATTGACTATTGGAGGTACATGGGTTTTTAAAGGGAAGTCTATCTAATGCCTGGGATATACAACCAGTTACATGCAATGCTTCAGTAGTCTATGGTTACATATTTCATGAGTTTCTATGTCTTACAAATAAAATAACTCAGTATAACTGGTTTCAGTAAAATTTACTCATCATTTATTATCTATTAAAAAAATCAGAGTGTCGAAAAGTTATCTTAGCAATTCTTTATGCTTATCAGAAGGTCTTTATAGAACTCACAGTGAATGCTTATCTTTAATTTCTTCAGTGATCAGATTATACCTTTTAGAAATATTGATGACAATGTTGTGAGTTAATTCAAAGAGGAAAATAACATTTGCCTTAATTTTTTTTCTTGTCAGTCTATGTAATTGATTTTATTACTCTCTCTGGTGGTTATGATACTGCCAGACTTCAAATTGGAATTTGTCGCTTTGTTTTTCCAGGTAGAGACCTTCAGATTATTTTGTTATTTAAGGGTATTACTGAGCTTCGCTTGAAAAAGTGGTGGCAAAGCCACACATATCCACATCTGCAAGTGGTGGTGCTAAGGGCTGACCTTGTTGTTCCTGTTTTCCTTCTTTTTTGTCTTTGTTGAAACTATAATCCATTGTTTGCTCATACTCTGGGGCCCTCACTCAGCAGGGGTTATTGAAAAGTCCTGGTAGTGTGAAGGTTACACACTGGGCTGCTAACTCTAAGGTCACGGGTTCAAAAACACCAACTGTGCCATGGGAGAAAGATAGAGCTTTGTACTCTCAGGAAGAGTCGCACTTTTAGAAACTCACAGGGGCAGTTCCACCCTGCCCTGTGGGGTCACTATGAGTCAGCATTGACTTGACGGCAGTGAGCTTGGTGTGGGTTTGGTCAACCCAACAAGCCTTATTTTCATCATTTCTTTAGCTTGGGACCCAATTGAGTAGGATCATAAATCCAGTCCTTGGTTAGAACATCTGTTCTTAAGTTCTTTCCCAGGACCCTAAGAATCTGCTCCACCTCAGCTAGGAACATGATGTGAAAAGTTGGACTCAAAGTACAGGCAATTCTGACTTCTTACATAACAATGTTTTCCGCTTTTTACAAAGATGGCACTACTGTTTAGTGGGCTAATCCTAACATCTGAGCCCAGGTTAAAAAAAAAATTGCTACAAAGTTATAGGAACCTTTGTTAAACAAAAATATCAAAACATGCAGCTCTTGCTTTCTCCCCCACGTAGATCTATCCACTTCTGATGGGTGTTTCCCCCTCCATCTAATCCTTCCCTGCATAGTTCTGTGTTCTTAGATTGATACCACATCAAAGCAGCAGTTTTGATATCCAAAACAAAACAAAAAAACCAAACCAAACTCACTGCCATCGAGTTGGTTAGGACTCTTAGTGACCCTAAATGACAGAGCAGAACTGCCCCTCTGGGATTCTGAGGCTGTAAATCTTTGGGGAGCAGAAAGCCTCATCTTTCTCCCAAGGAAGGGCTGCTGGGCTTGAACTGCTGATCTGTGGTTAGCAATCCAACATATAACCTACTATGCCACCAGGTCTCCTTTCCAACCCTTTGTGACGCTCTACAGGGTTTGCCAGCCTTTATTTTATTTTGTGAGGATCCATTCATTTTTTTGGTAATTGTTTTATTGGGACATAATCCTCATAAACAATTCAATAGTTTAACCATATTAAAAAGAGTTGGACAATCATTGCCACAATCCATTTTAGAAGGATCTCCCAGTTTTCAGATCTTTATCTTTCCCTTGAGGAGCAGCTGGTGGGTTTGAACAGTTCCTGCTTCCTTGAAAACACCACCAGGGCTTTCTGGCAGCCCCCAGGGATTCGAACAAGGCTCCTCTTAAATGCTCTAGGAATTTGGGGAACTAAAAGAAGTCTGATGGGACACCACCATGGTTGTAAGGTGAACAGGGGCCAGTTTCTCAAAGAAATTCTCATAGGACCGCTCTTGCTAGCTTTGAGGAATGAGCACGTGTGTTATCATAATGGGAAAAATATTCATCACCACAGCTCCCTTGGCCTTTTTCTCACCAATTTTGAGTGATCCGAAAGCCTCTTCATAATAAGCCCCTGTGATTATTCGTTGTCCTTCTGGACAATTTGTCAAGATTGCCCTATACGAATCCCTCAAAACACTTGCCATAATGTTCTAAGCTGACTTCTCTTGCCCTAAATGTAATTGGCTCAGCATGTCACCCCAGAAACCGCTGTGTTAATGGATTTTATTTTAAGGCACTCTATAGAGACTAAGGCAAGTATACTTGTATTCTGGGACGAACTTGTCTGCAGCCATCCACTACCAGCAGAAAGAGGTTCCGTGTGGAATAAATCCATGCATACATGAATGGAACCCTAGTAGTAATACTTTTGAATTATCCTCCTAGTTGATGCCAGCTGTCAAAGATTCAATTTAGTTTTCACTGGGGGCGGGGGTGGTGGTGGGGGGGTGGGCGCGGGGAACGCCTTTATCTTCATTCCCTTAAATGCTAAGGCCAACTGCAATTTCACAGAACAGCGCCTGGTGATTATCTAAGGTCTCAGCCTGTGCTCAGGAGCCTATAACTTAGAATCACAGTTCTGGTTGAATTGGTTAGATCTCGTAGACGGGGAGTCAGAGCTCGCTCTGCTTGTTATTTTACTACCGACTTTGTGGAAACCAAGCAACAATGAGGAACAGCAGGATATATAAGCCCAGTTGCATTGAGGCTATGGTATTCCCAGTAGATGAAACTTCAAGAGATTTAGCTATTTCGATATATCACAAGTATTCCAGACCCTCTATTAAGTCCTACCCTGCAAAGCTACTTAGTCAATTTCCAGTTTGATATAAAAGAGTCATTTTATATTAGATTCATGCAGCTGATTCAAGGTTAGTTTAAAATCTTACAGCAAAAATCCTCTTATCTTCAGCAAAACATCTTTAGAAAGGACCATTTTATTTGCTTGTTTATTTTCACTTGTCAGCTATTTTTTTTAACTCTATTGTGGAACATTTCAGACATTTACAGAAACAAAGAGGGTGTCATAATGCTCTTCTTCATATATACCCGTCTTCCAGCCTCCATTTGCAACTCTGGACCAAACCTGTTCTCTCAGCCTCTGTTCACTTCCCCCTCTCTGCCCCCCGCCCCGCAATGACTGTGAAGCAAATCCCTGCACTTTCCTGTTTCTTTACCATTGCCTACACCAACTACCCACCCCATAATGCATGAAAGAAGTACTTTCTGCTTCTTTGCTGGGTCTGATAGTTTGTTGAAATGGCCTCATTGCACTTGCAGACTGTAATTACAGGTAAGCGACGCATTAAAGGAGTAACAGGGTACAACTCAGGATCAGCCATCTGCTACCCTGGGGCAGGGGCAGGAAGTGTGTAGGCAAAGTCTAGAAGGTGCCCCTGAAGTAAAGAGCTCATCTCTCTTCTGTGCAGGACCGCTCCCTGAGTAGTTCTTGGCCTTGCAGATGAGCTGACCCTTTTCTCTGTCAGGCATGGCTTCACCAGCCTCCTTCAGCCCCCTCGTCTGGTCATGTTCAGGCCTCTCTGCCTTTGGCCTCCCTGCTGCTAGCCTTTCCTGGGCTAACTGGCCCAGACCATAGCCAGAGTAGAAGCTTCTGCAGTCACCCTCAACTCTGCCATGGGCCCGTCCCAAATGGTTGCTGCTGAGTTTGCTACAGGATTTCTTCCAAGCTTCTTGTTAGCTTCAGTGTTATAACTGCTGAGCCATGTTACCGCTCTTTTAGGGGATCCTCACCTCCTCGCTCTTGCCTTGTTATTATTATTATTTTCTCAAGCTCTATGAGGTTAGCCGCATAGATGAGTGCCCGTCTCATAAATGGCTCTTTGGGCAGAACTAGGAATTGACCAGTACACTCAGCGGACCGTTGTCCCTTCATTTGCACTCCCAAACTACCCGCTGGCATCAGTTTGATTCTGACTTGTGGTGATCTTATTATGTAGAGTTTCTGAGACTGTAACTCTTTATGGGAGCCGTCTTTTCCCCCCAGACGGTGGCTGGTCGGTTTGAACCACGACCTTTGCAGTTATTAATCCCAGTGCCTAACCCGCAGCACCACAGCACAGTCCTTTTATTTGCGCAGAATATTGACCAATCCTTACAAGGTAGATAAAATAGACAAATTACAAAAAGTATTAAACCATACCAATTGTATACAGTCTACCCAGGAGATGTTTATCCATCAGGACAAAAGTCATAAACCCTGCAAGGTTTATAACTTTTATAACTAGGGCAAAGGGGAAATTCCTCAACTGTTTTTCCAGAGAACCAAGACGAAAGGAGTTCATTCAATCACACCCATGCACATTTCACTAACTATTCACGTGGCTATTTTTAATGTGGAAATCTTGCTCACGGGCCATCGCCAAGTAAGACAAAGTGCTTTGTAGTCAAGAGAGGGAATTTTGAGTGTTTAGGGCTTGCATCTCTGGATGATGTAAACAATGAAGTGCTGGCCTGCTAACCCAAAGGTTGGTGGATTGAATCCCTCTAGAGATAAACCAGGCCACCATGGGAAAGTTTGTGGAGAATAGTTCTACTCTGATACCCGGGGTGTCATCAGGAGTTGGACTGGTTTGGTTTTTGGTTTATGAGTTTTGTTAGAAAGCGTTTGGTTGTAAACCGATTCCAGTGGGAAGGAGAGAGGGAAGCAGGGTGGGAGGCTGGAGGACCCGAGGAGGAAAAACAGAAAGAAATTCCTCCGCGGTGAAAATGATCTAGGGGCTTTTGAGAAGCTGGTTGTTTAGCAATCAATCCTGTAACACGTGTTTTGATGGTATGTGAGGTAACCCACCCTCTATGGCTGTTCCTGCATCTATCATGAAAGCCCATTACCCACAACTACCTTGTGTCAATTATGGTTTTGAAAATCCAGGGATGTATGTATGGATTGTGATAAGAGTTGTATGAGCCCCCAATAAAATGATTTAAAAG